AAGTAAGAAAGAAAAAACCGGTGTATGTTTTCAGAAAGTTTTAATTTAATTTACGCAAGTAAGCCTTCGTGCCAAACCTTGTCGAAAACTTGAGCAACGTCCAGAAAAATGTCAGTGCAATATTTTTTCTTTTGGAAAGCAGTGTGGATTTCACTTGCAATTCTATGGACTTGCTCTATTGTTCCGTGGCTTTTCCTGAAACCAAATTGGTGATTAGGTATTATTTTATGATGCATTATATAAGGTTCCAATTTAGCTGAAATTATTCTTTCGAAGATCTTCGATAAGTAAGGAAGAACACTTATCGGTCTGTTAGAGGTAGCCAGAGTTGGGTCCTTTCCTGGTTTTGAAACTCTCCATTGCTTTGGATAATAGCCTGTAGCAAGAATGCTATTAAATATTATGGTTAATAATAAAATAATAATAAAACTTCAGGGAGAAGTTTTATCATTTTGCCTGTAATATGATCAAGACCTGGTGCCTTCTTAGGATTTGAATTTGTTTGAATTGCTTCTTTTACTTCATAAATACTTAGTTTAATTGGAGCTTTCACCTTTACTGGAAAATGAACTCCAGTGTGGAAGTTGACGACTTCTGGATTTAATTGAAATACTGTTTTTAAGTGATTAACTAGAACAGATCTCTTTTCTTCATCACTTTTAACCCATGATCCGTCTAGTTTTTGGATGGGAGGATCATTTTGAATAGGTATTTTTGTTTTTATGGATGCTTTCCACAAAGTATAATTGTTTTCTTTATTAGGTCCAATATTCTCTAAATAGTGCTGTATTTTTAAATTTCTATGATTGTTGAGTGCATCTTTAATTAATTTTAAGAATTCATTAAGTCTTTGTTTAGCGTTAGGAGAACGAAACTTTTGCCATTCATGTCTTGCTTGTCGCTTTACCAAAATTAACTTGTCAATTTTATTGTGAGAAATAACTTTCGGCCGAGTGGTTTTTCTGTAAATTGAAGAATCTTATAATATAATATAATATAATATAATATAATATAATAT